TATGATACAAAAGAAAAGAAAACTAAACTACCACCAAATAACAAATTTTTGAATCATAGAATGAAAGTAATATTTTAAAAACTGAACTGAACCAATTGATTGGATCGGTCAAAAATATGGCAAGTTAAAAATCGGTGTAACTCATTCATTAAACAATCAAACAAATGAACCGATAAATTTATTTGAATTGACGGATGCCACTTCTTTTATCAGCACAATTTTTAAGGATTAAAAAATCTAAAATTGAAACAACACCTTCCCGTTATGTATCCCTCTTGTATATCAACTCAAAATGTAAAACTTTTAAAATTTTAAAAATCTACCTCATATCAATTAATCCTCCTCAAATTTTTCACTTTTCACTCTCATAATTATCGGAAATATAATTTAGTTATTATATACAATTCTCAATGCTTATTCTTTAATAGGGCATTTTGACATTTTCAATATTTAGTATAAATATGCTATACTAGTCTATCAATATTGTACCCATTTTTATCTCCTCTATTTTATATACAACAATAGTTTTGTTATCATTTTGTTCATTCTTCTTCTCCCACTTCATTACCTTGCACCAATAAATTGGTATCTAGAGCATTTGGTTCTGTTTTTTCTGGGAAACACGAGTGTTTGTGAGCTGTGTGTTTGATTTTGGTTCATTGATTTTCTGTTGAAATCTTGAACAAAATCTGAACAGAATATGATTCTGTGGATTGGGAAACAGTGTGTGTGAAAATCTGAAAAAATCTGTACAAGGTTTAAAATGAGTGAAGGCAGTAGTTTGAACACCAAACTCTCAGTTTTTAATGGCAAAAACTGGAACAGATGGATGATACAAATGCGTGTGCTGTTTGGTGCACAAGATGTTCTGGATCTGGTTAGATGGTTATGTACCAGCTGCAGCAGATGCAACTGAAGAATAGAGAACTGCTGAGAGAGTGATGAGGAAGAGGGACCAGAAAGCTTTGTTCTATATCCATTAGTGTGTGGATGAAAGTGTGTTCGAGAAGATTGTTGATTTAACAACGTCAAAAGGGGCGTGGGATTTACTGGTGAGATGTTACAGTGGTGACGCATCAGTAAAGAAGGTGAAGCTACAATCCCTGCAAAAGCAATATGAGAACTTGAACATGAAGAGTAGTGAGAAAGTTTCTGAATATATCTCCAGAGTGATTCTGATCACTAACGAGATGAAGGCGTGTGGAGAAACTCTGTCTGAACAGGTAATCATAGAGAAGATTCTGAGGTCTCTTACTCCTCAGTTTGATTACATTTTTGTTTCTATTGAACATTCTAAAGATCTGGAAACCATGAGAATAGAAGAATTGCAAAGCAGCTTAGAAGCACAGGAGTTACGTCTGTCTGAGAGAACTTCTGAGAGGGAAGCTGAGCAAGCTCTGAAGGCTTCTTTTGTCAAGAAAGACCAGAAGCAGAATATACGTGGTGATAGATTCCAGAAGTCGGATACCTCAACTTCTGATGATAAGAGATATCATAAAGGAAAGGAGAGGTATGACAAAAGGAAGGTTCAATGTTACTCTTGTAAATAATTTGGCCATTTTGCCAGAGATTATAGGTCAAACAAGGAAAGGAAATCAAAAGAAGCGTATATGGCTAAAAGAAACTCTGATGATGAACCTGTGCTACTAATGGCTTCTGATTCTGATGGAAAATGCTCAGAAGATTGGTGGTATATGGACATTGGCTGTTCAAATCACTTAACTGGAAAAAAATAATGGCTGACAGACTTTGACTCCAGAAGGAGAACAAAGATCAGATGTGCTGACGATAAGTATCTTAATGCAAAAGGTGTGGGAGATGTCAGAGTTAGAGTGAAGAATGGGAAAGACATTCTGATCAAAGATGTTTGGTATGTTCCTGGTATTAGAAGCAATCTGATGAGCGTGGGTTAGCTGATTGAGAAAGGTTTTTCAGTTGTTATGAAAAACAATCTCCTGACATTGTATGATTCCAATCAGAAGTTGATTATGAAGTCTAAACAAGGAAGCAACAAAACTTTCAAAGTGAATGTATAAATAGTTGAGCAACGTGTCTTAGTGTAGAAGATGCTGAAGGTGACAGTAAGTTGTGGCATAAGAGATTGGGGCATTTGAACAATAGAAGTCTAGGGCATCTATGTTCTAAGAAGCTTGTACATGATATTTCGAAGATTGTGAAGCCTGAGAAGTCATGTGAGATATACATGAAAGGAAAGCAACCCAGATTGCCATTTACATCAGAAGTAGCCCCCAGAGCGAAACATGCTTTGGGAGTAGTACATTCTGATGTGTGTGGACCATTTCTAGTACCTTCACTTGGAGGAAACAAATATTTTGTGTCTTTTGTGGATGAGTTCACAAGAATGACATGGGTAACACTCATCAAGTTCAAGCATGAAGTGTTTACTGAGTTTCAGAAGTTCAAAGTGAAGGCTGAGAAGCAGAGTGGTCAGAAGTTGAAAATTCTAAGAACAGATGGTGGAGGTGAGTATAACTCTACAGATTTTCAGAAGTCATGTGAGGGGAGTGGAATAAAACATGAGGTTACTGCTCCATATACTCCTCAGCACAATGGTCTTGCTGAAAGAAGAAACAAAACTTTGCTTGATATGACCAGAAGCATGATGAAAGAGAAAAAGCTACCTCACGTGCTATGGGGAGAAGCTGTTGCCACATCAGCATATATTCTGAACAGACGTCCAACGAAGAAACTGAAGGAAGTTGTTCCTTTAGAGAAATGGACTGGAGATAAGCAGAGTGTCAGTCATTTGAAGGTGTTTGGCTCTGTCTGTTACAAACATGTTCCATAAGCTAGAAGACAAAAACTGGATGATATAAGCAAAGTAATGTTGCTGGTGGGGTACCATAGTTCAGGTGCGTATAAGCTTTATTGTCCAGAAACTAATAAATTTGAAGTCAGCAGAGACGTTGTGGTAAAAGAGTCTGAAGCATGGGATTGGAACAAGTCTTAATCAAATTCTGGTGTAGTTCCAACACCAGAGTTAGCATATGAAGATATTTTAGAAAGTTCAGAAGATGAATCTGATTCTGAAGATTCTGAAGATGAGTCAGAAGAAGATTATGACAATGAATCTGATTCTGATCCAGATGCTGATGATGATCCAAAATCTCGAGGTGATCATAGTTCTGGAAGGGAAAACTCTGAAGGTAGTAGTTCTGGTGCAGCTTCAGAACAAGCTCAAAGACCACAAAATCAGACAAAAACCAAGAAGGTTTCCAGATTTTGACATGTTGCAGGATAATGAAGTTGACTCTGAAGAAGAAGTCGTTCAGTGTGCCATGTTAGTAGATTCTGAACCAGTGAGCGTTGAAGAAGCTCTCAAGAAGAAAGAATGGCTGAATGCCATGAAAGAAGAACTTGAGGCAATAGAAAGGAACAAAACATGGAAATTGACTAAACTTCCAGATAAGAAAAAAGCCATTAGCGTCAGATGGGTTTTTAAGTTAAAACTTAAGCCATATGGTTCAATTGGCAAGCACAAAGCTAGACTAGTAGCTAGAGGTTTTCTTCAGAAACCTGGGCTAGATTACTTTGAGGTGTTTGTGCCTGTAGCTAGGCATGAAACAATCAGACTAGTGATTGCTTTAGCTGCAAATAGAAATTGGCCTTTAATGCATCTGGATGTGAAGTCTGCATTTCTGAGCAGTCCATTACATGAAGAAGTTTATGTGTCACAACCTTCTAGATTTGTGAAAAAGAATCAGGAAGGTATGGTATACAGGTTGAGTAAAGCTCTGTATGGACTGAAGCAAGCGCCCAGAGCTTGGAATCTGAAAATTGATTCATTTTTCAAGAAGAAGAAGTTTCAAAAATGTGAGATGGAATATGACGTTTATGTGCAACACTCAGACAACAATATGATTCTGGTGTGTCTCTATGTTGATGACATTTTGCTAACAGGAAGCTGCCCAGAAGATATAAAGAAGTTCACAGAAGTTCTGATGAATGAGTTCAAGATGACAGATCTAGAAAAAATGACATATTTCCTAGGGATGGAGATTCTGTACTCAAAGAAAGGTATCATTCTACATCAGTTGAAGTACAAACTAGAACTTCTGAAGAGATTTAAGCTGCAGAATTGCAAAGTTGCTGTGACACCATCAGAAATCAATCAAAAATTGGATTCTGACTTTGATGGTGATTCTGTTGATATTACAACTTTCAAACAGTTGGTTGGTTCTCTAAGGTATTTATGCAATACTAGACCTGACATTTGTTATGCAGTTGGATTGATTAGCAGATTCATGAGTAATCTAAAGTGGTCTCATTTCTAAGCTGCTGTCAAAATTCTAAGATATATCAAGGGAACCCTGAAATATGGAGTGTTGTTTCCTTCTGAAAGAAAGACATAACCAGAATTAGTAAGTTATTCTGATTCTGACTGGTGTGGAGACAGAGTGGACAGGAGAAGTACTTCTGGATACTTGTTTAAATTTCTGGAAGGTCCCATTCACTACGCCAAAAATAAGTTTTAGCAGCACATAAAAGAAAGCGCTTTTGGAAAAAAGCGCTGCTGTAGGTTTTAAAAAAAATTCGCTTAAAAAAGCGCTTTCAAAGGGTGCCTTAAGAAAGCGCTTTTCAAAAGCGCTTCTAAAGGTCACCCTTAGAAAGCGCTTTTTGGGAAGCGCTGCTAAAGCTGGTCTTTCAGAGGGTACCTTAAGAAAGCGCTTTTCAAAAGCGCTGCTAAAGGTCAGCCTTAGAAAGCACTTTTCCAAAGCGCTGCTAAAGCTTGCCTTTAGAAAGCGCTTTTAAAAGCGCTGCTATAGGATATGCTACGAAAGCGCTTTTTAATGTAAAAGCGCTGTTATAGATGACCTTTAGAAAACGCTTTTAAAAGCGCTTTCGTAGGGGTAGTTGGTTGAGATGTTTTAGAGAACAAAATAATTAAAATAAAAATTTAAAACAAAGTTTAAAAGCAGAAAAAATTAGAAATGTTATTTGAGTGAAGATATGGATTCCATGAGTCACACAACATTACAATGTCCCCAAAGCTACCTTCACATCTATTCCCTTACCTCATCTTACTAACACTTGCATCCATTTATCTCTTCTCTTCTCTCATCTCTCTCCACACACCCTCTTCTTCAACCTCACAATCACTTTCAATCTCCAACTGCAACTTCTTCAAAGGCAAATGGGTTTTCGATCCAAATCACACCCCACTCTACGACGACGCGTGTCCCTTCCATCGAAACACATGGAATTACATCAGAAACCAAAGGGAAAATCTGAGCTTGATCAATTCGTGGAAATGGGTTCCACGTGGCTGCCATTTGCCTCGGATCGACCCGTTTCAGTTTCTTGGTGTGATGAGAAATAACAACGTTGGGTTTGTTGGGGATTCGCTCAATGAGAATTTCTTGGTTTCGTTTTTGTGTATTCTTAGGGTTGCTGATGAGGGTGCACGGAAGTGGAAAAAGAAGGGTGCTTGGAGAGGTGCTTATTTTCCCAAATTCAATGTCACTGTTGCTTATCATCGTGCGGTCTTGCTCTCCAAATATCAGTAACCTTCTCCTTTACCAATTCTTTTTCTTGTTTCCGGTTTCAAAGTTCAGAATTTTGCAAATAGCTTGTATTGGGTTGGTGAAATTTAGGGTCTATTTGGAAGAACCTACTTAAACAGATTTTGACTTTTAGGGTTCTGGTTTTACTTTGTTTCTTTCTTGTATACTTTTTTAAATGGAAACCTTATGTGCTAATTACTTATTAAATAAAGGTGGCAGCCAAAGCAACCTGAAGCTGGGATACAAGATGGGTCAGAAGGTATTCATCGAGTTGACGTTGATGTTCCTGCAGATGAATGGGCTGAGATTGCAGGTTTCTATGATGTCATGCTGTTTAATACTGGTCACTGGTAATTCTTTCGAACTTTCCTCCATCTTGAACTTCTAAATCATGCAGTGCCACTTGAAAAATAGTTTGACTTGTATTGTAACTGCCGGTATGCATTGCTAAAAAGTTGAATGAATAAGTAGTTATAGTCTAATATTAATTATGTTTTTATTTAGGGTTGTTATATGACAAATTGATGCGCGGGAATCAATTGTCAAATAGATTTCATTTCGTGTCTTTCTCCCGTGTCAGCGGAGCGACAATTGGTAGGGAACCGAATTCAGTAAGAGAGCACTTAGTCGAAAGATTCATGACAACTGGCAGTACATAAAGCTTATATCTTTGGGCGTATAATATTATTCCTACAAGGTTAGATTTTCATTCTAAGTTCATTTTAATATTTGTAACTTTTGCATAGAAAATTTTCTTCTAAACTGTTGTTTTAATTTATAGACGTCACTGGTTGTTGGTTGCTATCGATCCTATAAAAGAAGTGGTCTATTATCTGAATTCGGTTGACGGTGATTGGACAAATTATCCGGATATGAAGTTAATGATTGATACGTAAGTGAGATTATTCTAAATATTTGTGTGTATTTATATATTTAATTATTTCTGTGACATTGTTCTAAATATATATTTTTATTTTGTTAGAGCGATACAAGTATTCTGGTGTCAAAGAGAAGCTCGGGTATGACGGTCTAAATCAAACAACATTAATTGGATCAAAGTGCAGGTATATTAATTTCCACTATTTTGCTTATAATATTTATGCTATTTGATAAAACAATACAACTATATATTCTTATTTGTTTTTCTATGTAGTGTCCTCAACAGTAAAACGGTATAGATTGCGGATACTTTGTTATGCGGTTTATCAAAGAAATCCTTCAACTGAATTAAATAGAGATTCCAGTCACGGTATGGATTTATAACTTAGGATTTGTTTTATTATTTCTCGGATATTTCATATAATTTTTTACTTTTAACTAAATCATGCATATTATGTTTTGTTATGTAGTACTTCGATGAATACAAATGTGCATATTACACGAAACTTCAGTTGGAAGAAATCAAAGAAGAATTGTGTCAATATTTTATTGAATAGAGAATCATATAAGGTATGAATACATTATTATGTGAAAAGTGTTATGAATACGTTACATGTGTACATGGAATACCATATTGACCGTGTTATTATGTTCAAACCTCGCAGGACCAGGACCTTAATACATAATTGACCGTGTTTCTTTCATACATTAGGACTGGTTTAGTTGTTGTTATGGTTGATTTTGTAAGACTGATTTTGAGTTACAATGCTGATAACAATGGTTTTTATATATTTTGAGGTACAAAAATGGTGTATATATATTTTGGACTACAATGGTATACAATGCATTACTGCGGTTTATGAATTACAGGTTATGGCAACTGGTTTATATAAATAATATGCTGCAAACAATGCAGGTATATGAATTATATAAATTATACCTCTAAAAAAAACACCCTATGAAAGCGCTTTTTCAAGAAAAACGCTGCCTTAGGTAACCTATGAAAGCGCTTTTTCACAAAAAGCGTTGTCTAAGGTAAACATATGACAGCGTTTTTCCAGGCAAAAGCGCTGCTAAAAGACCACCTATGAAAGCGCTTTTCCATAAAAAAGCGTTGCTAAAAGCCTACCTAAGACAACACTTTTCCAGAAAAAAGCAATGCCTTAGGTAGACCTATGAAAGCGCTTCTTCATAAAAAAGCGCTGCCAAAAGCCTACTTAAGAGAGCGCTTTTTAGAAAAAGTGTTGTATTAGGTAGATCTACGAAAGCGCTTTTCATTAAACAAAAAGCGCTGCTAAAACCTATAGCAGTGCCACCATAGAAAGCGCTTTTAAAGGCCAAAAAAAGCACTTTCGTAAGTCTTTTTTGGCGTAGTGATTTCCCGGAGTTCCAAGAAACAGCCTGTCGTGGCTTTGTCAACATTTGAAGCTGAGTATATCGCAGGTGCTATAGCTGCTTGTCAAGTCGTTTGGCTTTTGAATCTCTTGCATGATCTGAAGGTTGAAGTTGAGGAACCTTTGAAGCTGATGATTGATAATAAATCTACAATTGATCTTGCAAAGAATTCAGTGCTACATGGAAGAAGCGAGCACATTGAGACGAAGTATCATTTTCTCAGAAGTCAAGTGTAGAAAGGAGTGTTAGAAGTTCTGCACTGCAACACTCAGAAACAACTAGCAGATCTTCTGACGAAGGCAGTTAAGACAAATCAATTTCTTCGCTTGAGAGATGAAATTGGTGTTGTTAGCTTCTGATTGAATATCTAAATTAAGGGATGGTATTAGAAATATAATTTAGTTATTATCTACAATTCTCAATGCTTGTTCTTTAATAGAACCTTTTGGCATTTTCAATATTTAGTATAAATATACTATACTAGTCTATTAATATTGTACCCATTTTTATCTCCTTTATTTTATATACAACAGTAATTTTGTTATCATTTTGTTCATTCTTCTTCTCCCACTTCATTACCTTGCACCAACAATAATCAATCTCCTTCTTTATTATAAGATTACTTCTTGTTATTTAATTTCGTTATTATAGTTGAAATTACTACTTTCTTCTGCATTATTGTTATTGAATTTCTAATACTACTTTTTTTCTTTGCATTTAACATTTATTATCTAATTTGAGTGATATAAAGTAGGAGTGTTTATTGGTTCGGAAAAACTACGATATAAATTGGAATTGAAATCAAATAATAGTATTTGAATTAAATATTTTTTAATTCGGTTAAAAATTAAATTAAAACAATAAAACTCAATAATAATTGATTCGAGTAATAAATTTTTAAAATTCTATCTGTGAACGCTTCTATCCGAATCAATTATATTAATTCATATAAAATATTTAATTAAAAAAAATAAAAAATAAAACTCTATCGGTTACATTGACAACCTATATGAATTTGAGTATTTTTTGTGGAACATTGAATTACGCAGTTGGAACATTGAATCACTCGGTGACGCAGCAGATATTTGTTAGCATTAGCATTGCCACGCCATCATTACCGTTCTATACGCTGAACGCCTCATCTGCGTTTGAGATGGAACATCAACACAGACAAACAACAACCTCAACATTCTCCTTATTTTTCTCAAATTCTTTTCCGAGGAGAACCAACCCAAACAATGACCGTCATCGACATTCTCTTCCGTGTCGACGCCGTCTGCAAAAAATACGAAAAATACGACATTGACAAACAGCGTGAACTCAACGCTTACGGTGATGACGCCTTCGCCCGTCTCTATGCTGCCGTCGATTCCACCATTCAACAAGCCCTCAATGTTCCCTTCTTTCCCTCAATCCCCATTTCTTTACCTTTACGCTTCTAATATGTTGTCTCATTAATCCTTTTGATCATGTAGAAATCTGAGGCTGCGTCCAAGGAGACTAACAGGGCTGCTGCTGCGGCTATGAATGCTGAGGTTCGTAGAGCCAAGGGGAGATTGATGGATGAAGTTCCTAAACTCCACAAACTCGCTAATAAGAAGGTATAATAACCATTCTTTATGGGTAAGATGAAATTTATAGCATTTCATGCATCAAGTATCAGCCTTCAAAAAATTGCACCATAAGCACAAGCACTGAATCTTATACATAAAAATGTTATGTCTCAGAAGATTGATTTTGCTATGCTACTATTTATGTATAATATTCATTACTTTATGGTAACAAAGTTACTTTAAGGGGAAAAAAATGGTTGATGCAATAGCCATTGCGGCAACATTTGGTGACAGGTTAAAGGTCTCACAAAGGAAGACATAGCCATTCGTCAAGATCTTGTTGACGTATTGCCAGAAAGAATCCAAGCAATACCGGATGGTATTACATCTGCTGCTAATCAGACCGGAGGATGGGCGGCTACTTCATCCCATCCGCATATCAAGTTTGATACACCAGGTGATCAGTGTTGCAGACATTAAATATGTTTTATAAAGACATTTGAATTTTGGAATAATGTTGCTTGCTTTCGTTTCAACCTCAGAGGGACATATTGGCAGTGATTATTTCAATCCAAGTGAAGAATCCAGTCAGTTTCGATCAGAATATGAACTGCGCAAGATGAAACAGGTGTGCTAGAATTCTGCTTTGCCTCACTTTGGTGTCTATGCTAAAGCAGAAAGGCGTGAGTTTTGTAGTTATTACTTTCGTTCATGAATGATTCCAATTTTGATTTCTGCAGGATGAAGGACTTGATATCATATCAGAAGGATTGGATACTTTGAAAAATCTAGCACATGATATGAATGAGGTTGGTTATGAATCTTGTTTTACTAGTAATTCCATTTTTGAAATGTTGGATTTTAAGAGGATAATCATTTTCTCTCTTTTTTTCCTCCTCGACTATGTTCAGGAAATAGACCGACAAGTTCCTTTAATGGATGAAATTGACACAAAGGTAAAGTCGTCATTAATTCGATCTTTCTTTTCTATGTTGAAATAAACAACTTAAAAAAACAATATTGCAAGCATGTCATAGTTACATTACAAGGTGCTTTGGGCTTGGCCTGATTATACAGGTGGATAAAGCAACAAGTGATGTGAGAAACACTAACTTACGGCTGAAGAAAACTCTCACCGAGGTAAATGACACGGTTAATTGCACTCTCCTTTGCGTGAAAATTTTCAAATTTCCATTGAATTGTAAAATTTGTTTCATCTCCAGCTGAGGTCCAGTCGAAATTTCTGCATCGACATCACTCTAATGTGCGTTCTTCTTGGAATCGTTATGTATTTATACAAGTAAGTCCTATATCCAGCTCCTTTTCATCGAGTATTCCAATTCAAAACATGGTTGGTGACAACAATATCTTTTTGTTTCAGTGCACTGAGGTGACTTGGTCCCAAATTTTTCCCCCTTGTTGCGCCTGATGTGCTACATTGCATCCTTACACTATCTGTGAGCTTTTTGACTAATTTTCAAATTGTTCGGCTGCTGGAGGATTTCGACATACATAGTATCAATGTATCATGTAACTCTCTGATCAGTTGATGTATTTAAAGGAATACATATAAATTACAAAATAATCTCCCAACTTTCAGTATGATTTTATTGAAATAACACACGGCTTGCATAGTTGGAGGAATAGAAATCGAATTTACATCTTATCATTGCTAAGTAAGATACAAGGAATTTCTTGAATACATGGAAACTTCTATATCTAGTTATTCACCTTATGTTACACGTAGAAATAATCATAACAACATATAAAGAAATAGAGTAATAATTCACTCGAACTTGTGAAGCCTATCGTCATTTTCCGAACTTCATCACTGCTGATATCTTTCTGCAAAGGTTAATTTGTTTAGTTCTTGAAAATCGATGCTTGGAGATTTCTCTATTTTGTTCTCAATGTTGAATTTGCTATTAAAAGAAATGAGATTTTCCAACTGTTCATCATCCTCATTAAATTTTCTTTTCAGCGGGTTGAAGTAACATTCCAAAGAAGGGATTGTGGTTTGAGAATTCATTTTATCGAAACTTTCTTCATAAACCGAAGTTAAATTGTTGCTTCGCATTTCCTTAAAGCTCACACTTGACATGTTCTCAGTTGGAGGTATAACTCCTCCAACAAGAATAGAGGCTATGATCTGATAATCTTTGTATTGATAATCTGTAATCATGTCAGCTCGAAAACTCGTATTCGTTTGTTGTTCTTCACCCTTCTGTAGGTTTACTGGTTTGCTTGGTTCACAATGATTCTCTTGATTATCAGATAAATTCTTCAACGAGTAGCCTCTATGTCGAACCCGACATAATACCCAGTCATCCAACTATAACACCAGAAACATGCTTATTATTGCATATTGAGTTCAAACACTATGAAATAACTTATAAATAAGCACTTATATGATAAAAGCTTTTGTTTACTCGAAAACTCACCCGCATGGAACCTTTTAGTCTGAACGATTTCATGGTTGTGTCAACCAACCTATATTCATTCATGATCCAATCTGTCTTACCACCCTTAGGAGGTCTACCTGAATAAAACACAAGAGCTTTCTTGACTCCTATATGCTTTGATCCACACGAAGAAATAATCGGCTTATCAGTTCCAGTTGCCTTCCAGTAACCTGAAGCTGCTGTTCTATTTGGCCTTAATCCATTCGGATACTTTCGGTCTCTCGGACTAAAGAAAAACCATTCTTCCTCTCCAAACAAAGACTTATCTGCATAATCATCACAAGTAAAAGCAAAACAGATTCACTTATGTGAACTATAATATGATAAATACAAAGAGTAGAAAGTGAAAGAACAGACTTGGTAACTCCCATGGATTATATTTGTAGAGATCAATCTCGGCTATAATAGATGCTGGAAGCGGACGCGATTTGATTTTGTTTTGCAGGTAATGAACTATGAGTTCCTCATCAGAAGGATGGAATCTAAAACCGGGCGGAAAATTGTAATCCGATTTGGATCCCTTTTGTTCTCCGTCCATCAAAGAATTTTATGCTTTGTTCTCGACAAAGGAATCAAAAAGTGCCGGTAATACCTATTTAGATTGGTTTAAATAAGAGAGTAAAGTGTTTTTGGCATTATATATAGTTTAGTCCCATGCAGATGCTGAAACATTATGGAGAGGAATTAATTGGCTGCATGTAAAGGTTGAGAGAAAAAAACTGTGAAACCAATCAATTTGGCTTTATTCAATAAGTTGACATTATCTGCTTAACACCTCATCAGCATAATGCACAGTGGTTTTCTGTTATAAGTTGAGTTTTTGGCATGATATTGTGTAGTCACTTTCCTATGGTAAGTGCAATTTGTGTTAAAGAAAAAAACGTTACCTGATTAACCAGTGAGAGAAGTTACTTGTTTGATTGCATTGCACAATAAAAAAGAGCAATTTAACAGCCTCTGATAATGACTTAAATTATATTATACTACTATTACTCTATTACTTTTAAGAAGAACTTGTCAAATGGAGAATTATGATTTTTTGTTGTTGTTGTTGACAAGAACACCTTAGGTGACATTTTATGAATACGTACTATTATCATCCAGATGTTCAGAAAATGTGTGGTTGTGCTGAACTGGAATCTTGCTAACAAAAATAAAGCTAATTATGCAAAGGCAAAAAGGGAGAAATTAAGAATTGAACTACCTTTTAACTTTTGCAAAAACATTTTAATTTATTCTTAAAAACAAACCGATGAAACCCAGGTTTTGAGTTTGTTTGCGAGCATGAAAGCAGCATTATTAGATCTTGGAACTTACTTAGCACAGGTCATGAATAATCCATGCATGGACCTGACATGTTCACGTTGACAGAAAAAACTTGGTTCCAATCGAATAAGGTTGTCATTTTTCGACCATTATTAGGAATCTAGCTCGAGGAATTTCAAACGTTCATCCCGAAGCTAAGTGTCAAAAGCATTTACACACACTATAGTTAGGTTCTCCAATTATTCATCACATTTGTCTTTTCTCCCTCCAAGTAAATGACTAACAAGCCTCTCCATTTTTTATAAAGAAAATAAATCTAATTTGCTAATTTGTATTCTCTTAAAAAAATATTATTAATAATAGTAATACTAATTACCAGTTTATATAAGATATGAAGTTTCAAAAGATGAAGTTTTAAAAAATAAATAAATTAAATTTTACTATTAAATTTGACATGAATATGGATGGAATTAGACTCTTATTTTAGACCGGTGTCAAATCACTTGACTCCTGGGAACCCTTCATTCTTATATTAGATTTAGGTGTTATGAGTTATCTTACTTCTATTGGTCTTTATAACCAAGATAGTGTGCCTCGGCTTATTTTGAAAAAAGACTTGAGAACTCATGAGCTTACCTTATCTATTTGTTTGGAGGACGCTCCTCTTCCACGTGCTTCACGATTGTTACATCGTATTCTTTTATCTTTTAAGTTATTGTCTTTTCTCTCGCAAAGTAAATGAGTAAGAAGCCTCTTTATTTTTCAAAAAGAAAATAAATCTAATTTGCTAATTTATATTCTCTTAAAAAATATTATTAATAATAGTAATACCAATTATCATTTTAAAATTAGTTTATATAAGATATGAACTTTCAAATGATGAAGTTTTAAAAAAAATAAAAATAAATTTTACTACTAAAATTGACATGAATATGGGTAGAGTTAGACTTTCATTTTAGACTAGTATCAAATCACTTGACTCCTTGACTCTTGAAACCCTTCATTTATCATTTGAATTCAGGTATTATAAGTCATCTTATTTCTATTGTTCTTTGTATCCAATATAGCGTTCCTTAGCTTATTCTGGAAAAAGATTTGAGAACCCAGGAGTTTAACTTATCTATTTGTTTGGAGGGTGCTCCTTTTCCACGTGCTTCACAGTTGTTACGTCATATTCTTTTATCTTCTAAATTTTTGTTTTCTTTAAATAATAGGAAAACAACTAAGGTTTTTAAGATAACCAAACAATATAGGTTGCACTTTTATTCTTAGTGATGTAGTTGACACTACTACGAAAAACACATATAATGATAGTTGCAAAACACATATAATGACAGTTTCACGTCTGTTGTTAGGTAACATGTGATTGTATGTATGCTGATTACCATAAAGAACATGTGAACGTGGTTATAAATTAGATAATGCGCTACTTATAACTATAGATGAAGGAAACAACCGTTGTGAAATGATTGATAGATACTGAGTTCGCATCCTACAACACTATTCTTGGATTTTATTAATCTGGATGACACTTTACTTATAACAATGGTTGAATTAAAAACTGTTGTGATATTATATATATTTTTAATATATTTTTCATTTTTTTATACAGAATTTACAAATTTTTAACCTGAATATTTCCGAATCGCATACCAGAAACAACAATACACCCATTTGTGAATTAAATTAGACCAACAATTATATTACATGAATGACACAATTCTATTAAGAACTGAAAATTGTATATTACATCAAAATCAAAATGAGAAAAAATAACCTACAATGTATACTAGGGATGTCAATTTGTATCTATTAACGGGGATCCCTATGGAGATTATTTGTTCGAAGTACCGAAGTTGGAGATTTTTTTCCCGCAGGACGAAATGGAGGGAAAAGTTCCCCCGATGACACTCTAGGACGGGGATTGGGAAAGTACCCTTCGCCCCATGGATTCTCCGATTTTGACTATATTATTTAACTTTTATATTTTATATATTTTATAATATATAATTATATAATTTTATATAAAAAATATATTAATGTATTAGAAAATGAAGAGTCATAGATGGATCATTTTATTTTTATGTTTTATTGTATAATGTATTGTTTCACTACCCAAGTACCCAGCCCTATAAAGTACACCAAATACATACAATATACACATTATCTCCTCAATTTCTTTTCTCAATCATCTTTGTCCCTTCCATTCATCATCTCATATGTTCTTATCATCATCAGAACAATCATTCCTCTTTGTTCATTGTGTTTACGGTAATTACTCTTCAGACTCATTTTACTTTCATTAGTAACATATTTTTCATTCAATTAATAAATTAGTAGTTATTGATTTGCCACACTCACACATAATCAACCAATTGCGCTAGACAACAACAATACTGTAGTATTAATTAGCGGGAGCATGGTAGCAACAACTTCTATTAATATTTATTCATTTTTTTACAAAAAAAATATTAGCAACAACACGTGCTTTTGCTTTTTTTTATTGATGCAAGATGTATTTTTATTTTTAAAAAAGAAAGATGCAAAATATGTGTTTTTTTAAAAAGAGAAAAAATAACGAAATATTAGTGTCATAGTTTATATAAGATATGAACTTTCAAATGATGAAGTTTAAAAAACATAATCAATTTTTACTACTAAATTTG